CAGCTGATTATCGAAATCTGCTGTAATGGTTATCTGTAACAGAGAAAGATCAGAGCTATAATATCTAATTGGATGTAAATAGATCTAAAGTTTATGCCCACGTACTTTCAAGGCTAACTTAAAGACGTGGTAATAAGGTCAATAAATGTTAGCATGTAGTTAAAAGATTTCGATCAGATTTTGGACTTCCTGTACCTGAGATGAATCTGAAATTGAAATGCTATATTTTTGCCTTAAATGACTGAAAACGACAGAGTTGCATCCTCTCTGCCTATGTGCAGCTCCTGTCTTAAATTACTCAGTGTTTGCACCTTTCAAATGTTCAGCAAAAAAATTCGCAGGCTTAGGCTGAAGAATGTGCCTAGAAAATTGGTCGTTCCTAAGTGACTCACGTTTCTCTCTTAATCTTGTTCTCTTAACACAGTTCTGGACTCAACCCGTTTCAAAAATTAAAAACATTAGCTCCAATAATTGTATGCTGACGTCACTTCAAACAGGTTTGCAGCAAACTGATGCAGACTCAGTTCGTCAGGCTTTATTAACTTTGCCAAGAAAATCGTCCTCCAACTCGTTCCACGCGGATTTCACAATGCAGGTTATATTATACCGTAAATTATTTGGCGCATAGGTTCTCTAAGAGCCCTTTTCAAGTCATACTGCAGTGAATGCTGCTAATACGTTGCTAATTATCCAAGAAAACTCTTTAAGCAGGCTGCGGAGCTTTTACGTTTATACCCTTGCAGTGGCGAATGCATTTATTCGCTGAGTCAATCTCTTGTTCACTGCTAGGCAGGTAGGAACAAGAAGTTGACAGCATTCACACTCATTTAATCCTAAAGAAGTTATGTGCTAATTAACATACCCCAGTGCATGAACGTATATTCTCGATAATTTTGCCGTAACACGTATGGATAACCAACTTCTCTGTGAATCTTTGTTTGCAACGAACGCGAGGTGATTAGTGAATTAAGTGATGTGAAATGCGTCTGGCACGGGGTTCAAATTTCATGGAACCGTGGCCTCCTTAATAGTCCCCCCCCACCTTAGGTAACTAGGAGTAGGAGGCAGTGAGATACGTCGTAAAATCTTGTCCTGGAGGAGTAATGCGCCAGCTGACATTCATTCGCGCGAAACTATATCGCTCTAATCGTATATGATGCAAGTGCCGTCGGTCAAATCCACATTCCTGCTGAAATTGGGGTCCGGCCATTTCGAGGACGACGAAACGTGGGAAAATGCGACACTTTTAAACATATTACTGTATAGCACCATCCAAATTGCCCATAGTATCTCATAGCATATATGGGCTTAAACCTCACAGTATCACAGGCTAAATGTCATGAATTGCTCAGAACAGAATCTTATGCAGTATCAATGAGGTATGAGGATAACGCAATGCATTGCATTTAGCTGAATGATCCTAGTGGGTCAGAACGATATCCTAAACAATGGCACGGAAAAAGCCATGGATATCCAAGAACAGTATGAAAGAACCACCTGGTGTTTGGATATAGAAATCGCAGATGTTTCTATTTCGTGATTGTGGATAGGCTGATGAGTCTCAGTATTGTAGCTATGTACAGAGTTGTCAATACGGTTCTATTTCAAGACAGTGATGCGATGTTATCATTACAAAATGGAAAGTGGTAACCTCATGATAAGAGGTCAGTTTCAAACTCAGGACGTGAGGGAAAATAGTGATAAGAAAACAGCACCAGGACGAGGAAATACAGTCACCACCATAAATACGGGTACAGACATATCGTGACTCAGATTCACTCAGTTCAACGTGACTGATTTGAAGAGAACCAGAACCACTGAATGGGAAATATAAGCTGTTACGTCGTAGGGATAGCTGGTTGTGAAAACGAATAGAGGGTTAAATACGAAAAAAGATTCAAACCTCACTGAAATGGCAATAATCTGTTGCAAAAATAAATCTTTTATTCGTTCACGATCATCACATCGTCATGCGCTTCTTGTTTATACATTCCAAGTTTTACATGCATGTTGCGTCATGGATAACGATGGCTGAAAAATGGTCAATCACTGGCCATTAGAGAAATACAACGATTGATTGATTGTCTTGTAGAAAAAACAAAGAATAAAGAAATAGGGGAGGGGTGTTATCTTATGCTGATTACTCTATAGTCAGCTATCAGCTGGGCCAAGATGAAATGGAGTCACAACGGGGGGATCGCATCAGACAGCATGACCGTGCACCATGTCCATTCTGGTCGAGGTTGAAGTACCGTGCTGTTTTATTATTTTAAAGTCACCGAAATACCAATGTTTTGAAGTGGATGCGTCAAAGCAACGATGGTTTAATTCCTTGCTCAAGGGAATTCACGATTAAGACAAAAAATTGTCCTTCGAATAGAATCGAACCCGGTACTTGCCGAGTTCAGTGAAATATGCCTATGACTCATTACTAAAATACCAAATTAACCGTTTAAATAATTTTTATGACAATAACTACTTAACATCACAAGTGAAATGAACCACAGATTTCTCAAAGGTGAAACTTCATAACAAATTCGAAACTGGCGGTCAATGCAGGAAAGATTTGTACTTTTCAGTGTGAATGAGTACACGACTTTCGCATGCAATCGCTGAAACGACGAAACGAAGGGAACAGGCGAAAAACTTCAGAGGTAGCTTTGTTGTTCATTATGTACAAGCGACAGAAGAAAAATCTCTGGAAGAACGG